AATGTTCATGAATATATATATCTACACATGCACGTATATCTATGCACATACATGCGTGTCTCTGTATGTGGTGTGAATACCGCACACATGCATTCCGGTTACACGTGCTGATGTATGTGTGTAAGTCCACATACGCCCGGCAGGTGTCGCTGTGCGCTGCTCCTGGGAAGCGCCGCTGGGGCTGGGGCTGGGGCTTCTGCTCTGAGCTGGGGTCCTTGGAAGAGTCGCGCTTGCATTGTGGCGGTAGGACAGACACCTCGCACTGCAGAGAAGGCCTGAGGGATGTTTAATACATCAGTCTCAATTTGTACCAGTCTATTCTCAGCCCTAAAAACACTACACTTTTTACTTAGGTCACTCCACGCTTTTGCTGAAGAGGTAATGGGATGGGCACGATGCCAGGTCAAGTATGGCTTTGAAAAGATTGATACTTAAAAATCTTGCGTGATTCAGCTTTAAAATATGTCCCGGGGAAATGGGAAGAAAATGCCTTCTGGAGAAGTACACAGTTTTCAAATTAATTTATCTCTTTTAGAAATGAGTTTTCACACAAACACATCTTGCATCCTATTAGAGTTGCTCTGCTTATGTTTTCATACCAGATAATACCCTAATAGCTTGTCAAATTGAAGCGATTTGGGAAAATTTTGCCGTGCCTCGTAGGAGTGAGTGGCTAAAGAACCACTGGTAAAGCAGAGGTTGTCCTGGCTTGGACTGGAACCCACACACAGGCTGGTGCAGAGTGGCACTAGGCTGGAGCAGCCTGGTGTGGTGGGCTTGGGCACGGGCACACAGCCCACAGTGCAGAGCAGCCCCTTGCTTGCCTCCTCCTAGGCTGGAGTTCTGGGCCCACTGAGGCAGAACACCTCTATCTGTGTCTGAATGGGTCTCAGGGTGGTGGTTTAGGTTGGTTTGGGTGAGTAGCTGCAGGGTAACATGGGTGATGCTTTGCAGGAAAATGAAAATAAATGCTTGGGTTTTGAGCTCATTCAAACTGAAACAAACAGAAAGAACCCCAACCACACAGAGCACAACACAGCAGCCATGGATTTATGCCTCCTGCTGATTTCACGGCACTGTACGAGCATGGGGAGACTGAAGGGGAAAACTGCTTCAGCTCTTTGAAGCACAGGGGCTGCGCTGGTGTGCAGGGCCACGGCATCGCCCCTGTTAGCAAACCCCCAGCAAACGCATACCCTCTCAAGTCACTTCAGCTAACACTCTACTCCTGAGAAAGGGCTAATCTTTACATGCCTCGGCCGTTCCCAACACATCCTGGTTCACAAGTTCTGCAGCTTCAAAGTTGCATCTGATCATTAACCCTGAGAGACCAGAGATTACTGGGGTTTTTAAACTGCGTGTTTGGGATGGCTGAGAGGCACAAAGTTCAGGCACAAATCTGTGTCCAAACACCGGGACAATCTTCCCAAAGTTCAAGAGGCAGAGGGAGGGTTTCAGCTCAGCTGCGCAATGCCCGAGCTTTGTGTAAGCTTGGGTCTTCATTTCTTTGTAAAGCTGCTCTCATGCAGCTGTTTCAAAAGTGGCCATGAATTTTGGGTGCTTCTGGACTTGTGGTCTGTGGTGAGCATGGCTGGGCTTATAGCTCCTGTGGACTTCAACCAGAGGGATGACACAGTCCAAGGAAAAGCCCTGCAAGTTACAATTCCTATATGCCAAAGACTACTAGAAAATTACTGTCTTATTGTGCATTTCTCTGTCACTTTTATGCCTGATGTGTACAAAATAAAATGCTGTTTGTGACCATGCTCTGCACAAAGCCAGAAGACAGAAGCTCTGAGAAGTTTTCAGTTTTATTTCCATGAGATGGCTTTTGGTATTAGAAAGCCATCCATGGGGATACTTAGGTTGGAAGATGCCTCTGTAGGCCCTTTGTCCCTCCCTCTTGCGCAGCTGCTCAGTGGCAAAGAGCCCCTTAAGCCTAAACAGTGTGAACCATGGCACTTTGATAGTGATTTCGGAAGGATCTGAACAAGCACTGAGGGGCAAAGACATTGGTATTCTCCTTGATGGGATTTAATCTTAATGCAGCTCATTAGCCTTCAGGGTGGAAGTCCTGAACCTGATGGTGCCAAAGGATTAATTTAAATCTAAATTCCATAGGTATAGCCTCAAAGAACTGGAGGTAAAGGTCATGTAAGTGAAGGAGGCCCATGAACACAACCCCTCTGTAGAGGTCCAGCCCTGCATGCCCCCAGGGCAAAGCTGGTAAAGGGATGAACCATTTGAGCCCTGCTGGTGCTGGTGCTCCTGGGAGGGTCAGCTCGAGGCAGTGTGGAGCCCACATTTCATCACCGAGGAGAAACTACCAATGCCTCAGTGTCAAGCACGAGCTGAGGTTGTTGCTGGTTATGGGTTTTACCTGTTTATATTGCTGCTACCCAATAGGCGCAGATCATCAGGTAAGGTTGGAGTCTGCAGCGAGATGCTCTGTTCAGAGCAGGCTGAGACCTCTACCTACTGATGGACACGCAAGTTGAGCTGGTCATGGGCAAGCAGCACCATTTGGCGAGTCAGAGATTATCCCATCTGCAAACCAAGGCACCATCTCCGTCATGCTATGCCCTGGGCTTGGGATGCCAGATGTCAGCCCCACAACAGCAGCAGGCTGCCAGACAGCCCCGAGAGCATAAGAGCATGGTGGCCAGGCTCCCAGCACACCAGATACAAAGCACGAGAGTGGAGCTGCTTTCATCTTCTGTCTTTCACCTCCTAAAATTGCCCCACGTTGCCTGAGCAAGCTGGCATATTTTCAGCACTGAAAACCAGATGTTGCCAAATTTCCAGTTGTTGTTCTTGGTGCTTTTTGTTGTTACTTTAACAGAAGTATGTGTCATGCCTCTTGCAAAAACAGGTAGGATTTACACTTTTAACAGGGGTCAGCCCTGTTTTCAGCTGCCTTGCCCTCCGCAGAGATGTCTGTCTATCTATTTAGCTCAGAAATGTTGCTGTCAGCTTTCTATAAGCATGAATTCATCAGCACCCTCCATAGCAACACACAGTCCTCTCCCAGCCACTTGCTACCTGCTCAGTTTGTGCCTGCAAAAGTACTTGCCTGGGTATTTGTGCCAGTAATATGACTTCTTTTTCCCATCTGCAGTTTTAGACATTAAGCCCAGAGTTTCATCACCAGCTCTGTGACTCCCACCTGGCTGCAAGTACTGCAAAATATGTATAGAGAGATAGATAGATAGATAGATACAGATAGATATATGTATATACAAAAATACACATATATGAGTATATGTATGTAAGTATACACAATATATTTGTATGTATATTATTTCTATATGTACACATAGGTGTATATAAACATTATGTATTTTTGTATATACAGACATATACCTATACATACATAATGTGTCTATATACCTGTATGTACAGATGTGGTGGAGAGACCAGCACCAATGGGTTAACTCCATAAGAAAGTAACATAAATGTGGGAAAAGCATAGGGCATTTAAAAATGTGCACAGCATTAAAAATGAGCTAATATAGCACTATAGGAAACGTGTGTTAGGTAACCTGTGCTGTCACCCCACAGTGCTCACACAGTGGCCAAATGAAGGCCTCTAGCAGTCTCCAAGATACCCAAAGCACCGGTGCAGACCCACACAGACCAAGGCTTGCCAAGGGCTGCTGCCAGAGCTGCTGCTTAGATTGGCTCCAGTTTTACTGAGCGTGGCTCATAGTCGAGTGCCCCATCACCCAGCTTCAAACCAGGAAAAATAAGCAAAATCCTTTGAGCAGTTTTCTTAGCATTTTTTATTTTTATACTTACTGGAAGAGTCAAGTGTCACGTTAATAACAGTCTTCTCAGAAACAGAGAAAAACAGTGCAAAGAGAAAGGTGGGGGTTTTGTGACAGCTTAGTTTTTGTGGGCCGCTCACTGGAACTGAAATTACTTAATGAATTGTAAGCACAAATACTGGTAGGAAAAGAGCTCACTACATCTTTGCACACATGAGGTATTGGGCTGCCTTTTAACCTTATTTTAATTGACCCTGGGAAAAGTGACAGCTACCTTTAGGAGAGTGACCAGGTATGTACTGCTGTATACTGGGGCATTTGGACTTGGACTTGGGAGACTGTGGGACAGTCAAGGCTGTAAGGTGGGAAATACACCATATTCCCTTGATTTGGCAGGGCAAACACAGTCACTACAGCAATGTGGAGCTCTGCAGCATGTCACCCAAGCACTGTGCTGAAAGTGCAGGGGCTTCCGACTGCCTTCACATGAGCATTAGTGCAAATGCAGCTTTATGTTGAATCAGAGGTACAGGGAATCACATTCCATTGCAAGGGCCCCGTGTTAACCATCACTACTGAACTCCTAAAAGAACAAGCACTGGCAATGTAAGAGCTTTGGGCCACTGCCTGGGTTGCCTGCTCTGCGTCTGTGTGTTTGTGTATGTATATATACTCACATATATGTATACAGGCACCTCACATATATATGTTTGTATGTATACACATATATGTATACATAGACATTATATATGCATATATGTATGTGTATATATGGGTGTAGAGACAGATGCACTTAAACACATGTATGTGTATATACACCTATGTACAGGTGTATATATATATACAGAATCATAGAATCATAGAATATATATACACACATATATACATGATTCTATATATACATATGTATGTATACATAGATATGTTATATATGTACATATAGTTATATACATACACATATATGGATAAACAGACATCATACATGTGCATATATACATATATGTGTATAGAGAGCTGTATAACGTCTATGTACATATATGCATATGTTATACATACATATATAGCAAGGTTATATACAGTTATATTGCATATAATGTTACATATTGCTTATATATGTATATATAATGTTATATATGTTATAGAACTATATTTGTTGTTGAGATCAAACCATCCCTAAGGAGCCTCAGGGGATGTAAGTGGTTTGCAGTCCTGTGTGCATCTGTGGGGAGTTTCATCCTGTTCTTCAGCCCCATCACTTTTGGCAGAAGGGTTGTGGTTGCTTCTATTCCCGTCTTCACACAGACATACCCTATATAGACACCTCCCATTCAAGCTCCCAAAAGCCTTCCATGTACTTATGACAGCCATTAATTTAAATATAAAAAGCTGCTGCACCCCAGCAACATTGCAGCACTTGAAGGTACACCTGAGGCTCGAGCACAGCCTCTGCAGCAGGGCTGCTCTCAGTGCTGGGAGGCATCAGACACTCTGTGGCCACTTTGTAGGTTTATCTTTTGTTTGGTTTTTTCTTTCTATCTGTGCATGACTTTAATGGATAAACTCTCAGGGGTCAGAAGCACTTGTACTACACATGCCTATTGATTTCCAAAAGGGAAGTGACTGATGAACTGCTGCAGGTCCAGCTCTAGAAGACACCCAAGTGCTGCTTGACCCAGTGTTCTCCGCACGCCTGCAGGCAGTGACTCCCCCAGCAGAGCAAGGGCAGCAGAGACAAAGATGAATGTCTCATCTTGCCTGTAATGCACAACAGAAACAGGCTTTCATGAAAAACAGAGTGCAGACCAAGACAGAAAAGGCAACAGTCATTTCCAAAGGTCACACATACTGTTTCTTTATGGCAAGTTTGCCTTCTATGACTGACAAAAGCAGGACCGATCAAGTGTCTTCCAACAGACCTGGATTAAAAATGAAGTCATGTTACTTGGAGAGCTGACAGTCCCACCAGAAATAATAGAAGCTGCTGACAGTTCTGGCTTCTCGATAAAAAGCATCTTCCCACATCATTGTCAAAATTGCTTCTCTGGTATGGGCATAAAATAAGGCATTATTTGAATGGAAATGTTAATGGCGAAGAGATACAAATCATACTGGTCTGTGGTAAAAATACACTGTAGCTGAAAAATGTGTTCTTGTTTCTCATATGCATGAAAATATATGTTTGTATAAACAAGATTTGCATATCTATTCATATCTCTATATATTTATGTATAACTCTACGCATGTGTTGTACATGTCAGTAGCTAAAAATACTTGGTAATCAGTCCTTCCTCTAAGAGCGAACGGTTGGCGTGATGCACCAAAGGCTGTTGTGCAGGATTTGACTATCTTTCCATACATAAAGGTTGTAACATAGCAACCATTGTTTTCTGCACATAAGACACTATTTCTAAGCTAATTGTCACTGCCTTTATTAGTTGCTGCTGTTACGCTCCTGAGCTGGATGAGGAGCACAGCGGCTTTGATCGACCACAGTTTTGATGAAGCTGGCCATGGAGAAGAGCCATTGCAAACAAGGTCTTACCCTCTGATGGCATTTCAGATGGCCTCGCTGAGATGGCAAGCTGTGCCTGGGCATTCAAGAGCCCACAGCCTGAGGACATGCTGCAAACCCTGAGCTGCAGGCAGTCAGCTCTTGTACTATGCCATGTGTATATATAAATATACACATGCAAACTATATATAGACACACAATCCCTGTGTGCACATTGGGATGAAGAATTCCAGCTCTCAATATTCAAAACAACTTTCTTGCTTTGCTTAAAGGACCAAAGAGGTTGACTCCAAGGGACTGTAGCTGTAGCATCCAGCTGCTGAGTCTGGATAATCAACACTATCACAGCACTGCTGGTGGAAAATGGGGGTGTCCACACAGGAGCTGACACCAGCGGGAATACCATGAGAGTATCCTGTGATTGCTTCCGTGAGAGAGGAGAAGGAAGGGAGTCGAACATAACAAGTACCAACCAAACGATGTCCCTTCAGCAGGCACCATCCCTGGAGAGGCACTGGCTGGCAGGTTGGGGATGGGATGGGGATTGGCCTGTGGCTGCAAAGGCCAGCACAGTCCCACAGCCATGGCCAGGCAGGCGTCTGAACAGGGCATTGGGGCACCACTGGGCTGGTGGCTGGCGGGGCTGGCGGGTGCAATGCAAACAAAGGGTTATATAAATGTAAAAGCATTTTATATAAGCCTATTTTATCTGCACATCACATATTTAGAACACCTATTTCTACTGGAAACACTAAAACCGTGTTACATAAGAGCTCATGTAAGTCCTTTGGCTTAAGGTTTGGGCAGGGGGAGGGGTTGGTTCAGGCTTGGTGCATTCAGGCTGTGTCTTATAATCAGAGCAGCCAAAAGGAGTCTTGAAATCCTTTTTGCTTTCACTCCACACTGCCCTGACAATAGCAGAATACTGCACCTGGGGGGAGTTTCCCTCAGTGCTGCCTTCGTATTCAGAAACATTCATTGGTAATGCTGTGGATGTGTTGCCAACATAGCAGAGGCAGCAGCTCACACTGCCTGGCCAGCATCCCGACATCCGGGCTGCAATAGCAGGCAGGAACACCACTGACATCACCCGAGCGACTGCGGCGTGTTCTCAGAAATTGAAAACCCCATTAACTGGAACTGACTATTTAGCAATATAAAATGACTTACGTTGGCATTTGTGCAATAGCGTTTTCTAATGAATTAATGATTCCCCAAGCCCACCTCTGAGGGAAAAGAGGGAAGGATGGTGATGATGGCCATAAAATACATGTACAACTGCACTGGAGGAAGCTGAGTCACTCTGGATGCATGGCCACCTTGGGCTAGCTCTGCTGTGGCTGTGAAAAGGTTTGTTTCCTGTCACATGCCAGAACAAACCTCTTTGGGTTGTGATAAAACTGCACTGTACTGTGCTGCTGGGCCATGGATGCGCATGGGCTCTGTACGTTACAGCTTCAGCAGGGCTTTACAGCAGGGCTCTTGGAGGAAGGCAGTCTCTGCCTGCACAGAGGTGCTGTGGTGGCCACTGCCAGCAATGTGTGGTGGGCTCCAGCACCGCCATGGCAAACAAGTCCTTAAGCAGTGGCTGGATGCTGGTCCCACCTCAGCTTCCCAGCCCTAGAAACTCCAAAAAGAGAGAAGTGGAAGATCCTACCTCACAGTGGTGATGCCATCCCTGAGACCTCTTCACTGGCCCAGGTCATGAATGCTACCTGTGCCATAGGGCGCTGCTCCCTGGCACACTTTGCTCTCCCAAAGGAGCAGCACTGAGCTCTCATCTGAATGCTACCTTCAATCACTACCACTGCTGCAATTCTCCCTGCAACTGCTCCATATTCAGATGACGTGGTTCATTAGTTTCTATAAATGGCCATGACATTGCATAGATTTTAGGGACAAAGTAAGATCTGAAGCTCTAAATGACTTTTTCCTTACCTTAAGGCTTCTTGCAAGGTGACTCAAACTCAAGCATCTGGTAGAGCCCAGGTGTTTCCACCCCAGCCAGCACCCTCCTCTGGCACCTTCCATTTTCCCTGCTGTAAAGTGGAAAAGCCAAGATACAAATTTCCTAGGAGGAAAGCAGTTAACACCTGAGCATGCTGCAAAGCCTTTTGAGCCTTTCCTTCCCTCACCAGGAAGCGAGGGTGGCTTAAACTGATTGAGAACAATCTCAGTCCCTTATTTCTGTGGGCTCTGCAATGGGAGTGGGGTGGTGTGCGGCAGCGAGATGGTGTCCCTGACACCCGGAGGCAAATGCCCTGATGGAAAACTACCCAAAGGCAAGAGCATTGGAGTCTCTGGCTTGTTTTTTACAACAGCTTCATGAGCATTTTAAGGAGAAGGCAGGGGAAGACCGGTGTGCTGTGCTGATGCCCTGCTGCCACTGTCCTCACAGGGTGCCTGTGCTGGCCAGCAGGAGCTTTCCCAAGCCCCCCTGGCTGCTCAGCACTGTGCTCCCAGGGGACAGGGGCAGTGCCCTGCCTGCATGCCCAGCTTCCCACAGCGGCACATCCCTGCTCCAATAGCTGAAGCAAAGTCTTCTCATCCTTCACTTGAGGCAGACACTGCAAATTGGATTAAAGTGGTGCCTGGAGAGATTTCTACCTCCGAACATTTGAAACTAACATGAACACGAAACTGACTCCCCTCTGGCATGCAGGGGGCTCCCCAGCTCTGGCTCCCCAGGTTTGAAGCCAGCTCTCCTGTGACACTACCAGCAGTTGACAAAATTCATGTCAAAACCTGCAATAGTGAAGAATTTCAGCTTACAAAGATGCCTTTTCAATCTCTGCTTTGACAAACATTGTACTGGGGCTGACTGTTAAAGGAGCTGGGCATCCTCCTGAGCTCTTGGGCCTGGCAAGCCACCAACTCCAGCTGATTATTTCACTTTAAGCACTCCATCATCTTCTGTTATTTCTCACCTGCCATAAAAGTCAAGCGACGTAGTGAACATCTGTGATGTTCATGGATGAGCATTTTGACAGTTTTATGGACCTGTAGAGCAAATCTGTCTCACTGAGCATGGAAGAATTGAAACCAAGGCAACAGGAAACACTAATCAGGCTGGCATCCTCAGGACCCAGATCATCTGCAACACTGATGAGGAAAGTAACCTGCAGGTACACCAGGGAAAGCCAGTGGAGCCCAGCTGCAAAGCCACAGGACCCGCATGGTGCTGGGCAGAGCTTTCCTTCCTCTGCTGAAAGGCTGCAGAGCATTACAGTGATGCCTGTCAAGCTGTGATCCAACTGGGAGACCACCAGATGACCGAGGAGAATTGCTCTGCGTTAACCAGCCCAGCAGATTAAAGCTGATGACACGGTCCTCATCCAGGGACCGTTTTGCATTCGATTCTGCATTGACAAACACCCATGACTGGTACAATGTACACAGCAGATTCAATTTGACCGTGGAAGGTTAAAAAGTGGATAGCAGTACGGACTCATGGAAAAGATTCAGTTTTATTGTATCTTAAGGAATAAACCAGTTTGGTTTAGCCTCAGAGATTTTATTACGCATTTTCTAATGGCTCAGTGAACTCATACATTAAGGAGTTAGGGCTGAGTTCATGCTTGCTTCTGAGCATGGCCTACATGTGCTGGAGAATGGGACTTTGTAATGTAAAGCTCTCTCATGAGCCCACCACATTCTCCCAGGCTGAAACCAGCCTCTGGCACCCAACCTTTCCCTGCTTGCAGAGGAGCAGAAATGCCTCAGTGATGGGTGTGTGAGGGTTTCAATGAGCTGCCAAGCACCCATCAGCAGCAAAACCTCTGGTGGTCACAAACCAGCTACTGGCACTGGGATCCAGCTCCTTGTCTGCAGAGACCTGCCAGCCCTGCCGTAAATCTGCACCAGTAACTGCTGCTGTCAGCCCCTGAAAGGAAGAGACAGTTAGCAAGAGAAAAACACTGTTTGGTTTTTACTTTGTCTGCGGCTGGAAGGGAGCCATGGATCACAGCTCGGAGAGCAGGAGAGAAATACAGCTCCCTGGTGACAGCCGAGCTGTGAAATAGAGCTGCCTCTTGCTGCTTGGCAGCGCCTGCGAGGTCATATCAATTAAATAAATGTGATGCCAGGTTGATGTGCTGCAGGGAATGGTTTATGACCTTCATCCGGTGAGAAAGGGAGAAGGCAGGTGTTGAGAGAAGGTGAGCGAACACATTGGAGTAAATAGCCATAATCAGTCATATTTTGGGAACACAAAACACCAGCCTGCTGCCAGCACAGTCACGCTGCCTCTGCCTCAGGGCTTTGGTGGGTCCTATAGGCACATGGAAACCGGGTGTTCACCCCCGGACAGCCCCCATGTGAGAACCTCCCAGCACCCTCTGCCCAGGCAGCCCTGCAGCCCCACTCTGACCAGTTTTCCAACATGTTTTCACTGGGGTTATTTTAATCTCCCTGTTTCCCATTGTGTTTTTCCTCCTGCCCATGCCAACACAGACTGATTCCTGGCAGGCAGGGTGGAAATCTCCTCCCCGGGCCACACCAGCATTCTTGAGGATGAGCTGGACCCTGCTCTGGTCACTCCTGGCTCCTCTCCATGCAGGCACTGGTACCTGCTGCTGGCCCCAAACCCCTACCATGGCCAAATGCCTGCTTCACATCAAGCCATTCTGTGTGTGTTCATCCAGCTACTAAATGGCTCAAGCAGCTCTGTGCTTCCATATTTTGCTCTGTGACAACTGAAGAACCAAAAAACCTGCTTTGCTGCTGACATAGTTTGCTTCTACTGGGACAAGAGAAGGGATGCAAGGTACTGATGAGCTATCCAAGAGTCATACACAAATGCTAGCAGTCAGTTTTTGGCAGCTGCAAAGTGTGAGCTGCTCAGTGGCTGCCCAGTTGTTACAGCTCCACTTTGGACTTCAGGGTTTGCTTCACTCCTGGATTTCCTCTGTCCTGGATGAAGAACCTCCTTGACCTGTATAGGTCCCTAAGCCAGCCACGGTGAGGTTTTGTATCTAGTCTCGCTAGAAACTGATGCTGCATGCTGGGTGATGTGGTTAGCAAGGCCAATGGAAATATGGACAGAAGTGCCAGAAATACCCAAAGAACATTCCTGTCCACTCTGCACTCCAACAGCTGCATAGACCTGCACCTTGCTGCTTCACAGGGCTATGTGTACAAAACTGAGAGACTCAAACAACTGAGAGTCTCTCTGCATAAAGCAAGAAAAACAAAATGATGGAAAAATCAGTGAAATATCATACGCAAGGGTGCAAAAGATAATGTATTACATGGAAGTAATGCAACCTTTCAATATGTGTCAACATCAAATTAACTAAGAGACTGTAGCATTAGCAGAAAAAGATCTGAGGCAGACATAACAAAAGAAAACACAAACCTATCTACTTTCTTAATCACAGGCTTTAAAAATGTCTCTGCTAGCTATCCAGCTATTTAAAGAGCTGTACCATTTAAATCTATATCCAAACACAGAAGTCACAATAAATCTGTCATGCAGTTATTCAGGTCTATGGCTTTAAATGATTAAAAACGATAAAATTCATGACAGATGTTAAATGGAAACACTGTTCCTCTACAGCCTCTAGCACTGAAGATTTAAGCTCTAATCCAGTCTGAACAGCACCCGGAAGAACAAGACAATGTCCTTTTATTGACAGAGTCTGGGTTTGGAGCATCAGTTTCTGAAGCCTGAGCTGCAAAGTAAAAGCGTGTCTAAGGATCAACCATTTGGTAAAGCAGAAATTCTGCCCTGGCTACACCTGCAGTACAGACACCTTGGGAAAGATGCTGTGGGGATGGTGGCATAGGAAAATGACTGGGTTTATACTGACCTTGCACCAGCCATGGTGGGATTGGGATGGCAAAAAAGCTTCCATGCTGCACAGCACCAGAGCCTTGGGGTATGGCTTGAGGAACAAACCAGGTATAAAGGAAAGCCTATATCACATCTATTCTGAAAGTGGCCAGCAACCTTTAACCAAGCAGGCAGGGGATCACCACATGCCTTGGGCTGCACTCAGCCATGAATGGTTACTACAAGTCTATGAGAAGTCTAAACCAGAAGTTACAATAAATCATGTAAGATCCAGAGCAGGAGCCTTGCTGCACTGCTGCAGCCCTGCAGGTAATCACAGCCCAGCACCTTTATTCCATCAGCAAGGGAACCAAAGCTGAGGAGGTGAGTGGGTTGTCAAAGGCAATAGTATCACTGGCTCTAAAGCCAGACAAGTCATAAGTTTCCTGTCCCACATGCAACTGCGAAAAGCAGACTTTTGTATTTCATACCACACATAACAGCCAGGCCGGGTGACATAAAGGTTAAGTGATTTTGGCTGCAGTAGACCAGCACACAGATTACAAGAGGAATTTTATTATCAGAGTTCTCTATAGAAGGGCTGCTTTGCAGTCAGGATGCAACAGACGGATTCCAGAGAAAAGCCAATGATGTTATATGTGCCTGCTGCTGCCTATTGAGACAGCTATTTGCAGAGCACGGCCATACGTGGCTATCACCATGTCCACATGGGCTACCAGGGCAGAGCTCCCCCTGCACATGGTGCATGCAAATCACCTTATCAGTGATGTTAATTCTCAGTCAAAAGAAGTCATTGAACTTTTCAACAGTCAATATTTTAAGGAGTTCTCAAATAGCACTTGGAGTAAGCAGATAACCACTTTAAATATAGAGACACGGGAATGGAAGCCCAAGAGTGCTAGTGATCTGGATTATTTGCTTGTTGCTAAATACCCTGCAGCATTACTTCCCAGGTTGTTCCGCTCACTGACGCAAACAGTGGCAGAACAACAAACAGGAATTTGCAGGATTTTGTAAGAATTGAGGTAACTCAAAAGAATAAGGAGCAAATTGGTACAGGGTTGCTTTGCTCAGGATTGCACCTTTGGAGGAAGGAGGACAGTTTACTGTTCAATTACATATAAACCCTAAGTGAAGGCTTGACAAGCACTTCTAAAAAACCTCAGCAACAGAAAAGCAACATGAGTATATATAAAGATGACTTGCGAGAGCAGATTTAGTTCAAGGATGCTTTTCCCCTCTATTGATACCCAGAAATAACATGCACCACAGCATGTCACCGAATTCCTCAGGACCCCACGTACAGTTCTCTGTGGTTTGTGGTATATGTGCCTGTAGAATAGGGAATGGAAGTCCACATATGGAAAAACTTGTTACCTCTGACTATCACAGAGTTTAGAAGGGACAGAAAAAGACAGCAAAGATAGCCCCAGAATAACATCAGTTCCATATGGAAGAAAAACTCTCCAGGAAGAAGCCTCCCCTCTGTAAAAAAAAGGTATTAAAAACCTGTTTGTAAATTAACACCTCCAGGCAATAAGCCAGACTGAAGCGAGAACTTCACAAGGCTTTAAATGTACCAGCCACGCTTCTAAGAACTGCTACAGCTTGGAAAAAGCAAGGGT